AGCATGTATGAAAGGAAAGAAGTACCAGGAATGGCTGGTTTAGTTGAAAAGCCATCCAATTTGGAGAGGACAAAATTCATAAATATTTCTAGCAATAAGGAGATCCACATACCCAATGCGGGTATTGTATTAGAAACCAGGCCCATGATATTCTTGGAGAAACTGAATCATTGAGTAGGCAAGAAATACTTGCCCTTGAAACATTTCCAGTTTATAACTCCAACAACCCTGAACTAGGAGAGAACTAGGATATCAAATGATTTTTCCAAAATCACCTGAAAAGAAGCCAGAGACGCTCCAGGATTTATTTTTTCTTAAAGAGCTTAATATCTTCTCTACACCAAAAGTACATTGCTTCTAGCCTCACCAGGGAGTTTTCTGCCAAGACTGCAGGAAAATAAAAAAAAATCCAGAACACAGAATATTGCACTCAATTAATTACACGCTTAATTGCTCCCTTCTTTTAACAGCCTAATGAATAGAGCAAGTTTCAGTTTCAGTATGTATATGGAGCCCAAAGTTTCAAGTCCAATAAAGGAGACGGGACTGATCTGAAATGTCTGTGCTAAGATCAGACATGTTCATGTAATCAGAATAAATAACATCTATGCCCCTCACTTTCCACCCAGAGCATCCCAGAACTAACATGTAAGGGGTTTTCAGTACAACCTGAAAAGAGAACATTATATGTCATGGAAGTTGAGAGCTTCAATTAAACGTAAGAGAATCTGGCTCATCTGAGACTGCAGGCCAGTGGACCACCATGTGTCGGTGGAGCTTCTTCCTCTCTTCCCTTCTTTGGCCAGGACCTCGTTGCACTATTGACTCAACTTATGTTTCTGAGTCACTAGTCTAAAAAGTATCCCAAGGCACACACAACTTTCATTTCAACCTTCCCAAGGCACACATCAAAGTGATACACCAGGAAGCCAGCTGGCAAGAAGTAGGTTCCAAATGTTTGCATAAACTGCAAGTTAACTATTAAGCTATTGGCAAACAGCCCGATTCCAGTCAGAGGCACTTGCCCTCATTAAAGCCCAACAAAATAAAACAAAAACAAAGTCTCTAAGCTAAGCCACTCAAGATGTTACCTATGTAAAACAAACATTTCATTTTAACGGTCAGATTCAATTTGGCTTTTACTCATTCCCTGCATCATGTACCTGCACAAGGCAGCATCTTGCTGTTTAAAACCAAACCTGCCGGTCCTTTTCAGTAAACCCAAAATCACCTTTTCCCTCTACGAACAGCTTTGCACACAAAAGAAACAAGTGCGGTGATTTTTTTTTTTTTTAAAGAAAACCATAGTTCTCTCAGACATTCCTAGTCTCAAATGTCATACCTATCTTGTTGAAAATTCTGCAGGAAAAAGCTGAAGCATGCCATTTCATTTACGGACAATATTATGATATCCGTTGTCAAGTCTTTTATAATCCTGAAGTTCAAGAGACAGTCTTTTTTTTCTTTTTTTTTTTTTTTTTGGTTTTGCAATGGAAATTTAGCTTTGGCGTCAACAATGGAGAGAATGGGCACATGTACACAGATAATTCAGTCAGACATGAGCTCAGTCAGACCGTACTCCAAGCTGGCCGGACATGAGCCAGCTCTAGTTCACAAGTCATGTAGCTGTGTTAGCACAGCACTGTGCCCACACTAATAAAACCTGCTGAGAGGCAGGGTATATTAGGCTGGGCACAGTCTGATGCTGTCTGGCCAACTTCAATCAAGGACAGAGGATACGGGTCTGTCTGCACCCATCCGCATACATACACAGTGCTGCTCTGTAAGACTTTGACTTCTGTGCACCTCTTCTGAAGATTTTTTTTTTTTTCTTATTTTGTAACCTGGAAGAGCTAGAGCATAGCACAACAGATTTCAGATTTTTAAGTACCCTCCTTGATCATAACCATGGTAATTCCTTGTAGCTGTTCCAATGAAGAATTAAAAAAAAAAAAAAAAGAATAATTACTAGCACTGCAGGGCAATCAAATGGATTCTATTCACACAAAAGTATTTCCAAAAGCTCTGAAACACAACTGTCCTTTACATTAGTAGCATTTCCCCCAAGCATTTATTCTGTTGTGGAATTCAGGAATTATAACTCAGTTCTTGTCAACATCTTAAAAACAGAGAACGCATTTTATGTCTATCTCAAAGTAAACAAACAGAAAATTAAGCTAGTCATTGGAAAAACAGTGAATCCTAGTTCTTAGAAAAATGCCAGAAAACTAGACTATGAAAAGAGATCAGGTAATACAGCAAATCACTAGTTCTTTAAAGTTTTGCTCCAAAGACACATGCAACTAAACTCATCTTTGCCTGTGCAAGGAAATTACTCAGTGTTCCAAGGACTGGAAAAAACCCTGTTTTAATAATCTACTGACATAGAAACCAAGGACAGGTGTGCATCTCTGAGCTCAAATAACTAGCCCAAAAGATCAAGGAATAAAACTGTAACATGAACACGTTAATAACATTGAGTTTGCCTTAATAACAAATGCCCTGGAGCAGCTTAAGGCTGACATAACTTCTCCATTTTATATTTTCTTCATTTAAAAAGGAGATAAAAAAAAAAAAAAAAACAGCCAACCAAAACAGATTTAGTGAGCTACATGCTTGATTTTCAGGAAACACAGTAAGAAACCCTTCAATTATACAACACTATTTGTGCCAGCCACTTCAGTTTTGTCTGTGAAAAGGCAAACAGGGTAAAAAAGCCAGTTACTAGAGTGTGAGACTTCTGTCTCTATTACAAAGTAACTTCTTCTCACTACCTTTAACTTTTCTATCATCTAAAATAAGTATTCCATGCTTTGAAATGAACTTTAGATTACTGGGAAAAAAAACAAAAAAACAAACCGCCAGTATTTAAGATATCTTCAAGCAACCTTCAAACTCAAAGCCACTGATGGGAACTGGAGAAGTTTAGCTTATTCAAAATGCAAATTTAATCTGGGCAGTAGCCTTTGAAGCAAATTATAAATGTTCTTATACACAACAGTATTCAAAAAACAGAACTCATATTTGAATTTATGCTTTAACATTCATCATTTGGGTCCACTTGTATACTCATGTGTCACTGAGAATGTAAAACCTATAAAAAGGTATGATCCCAACAAGTTCAGGCAGACTCAGGTACCAGTAGTCAGAGAACGATGACAAAGGAAGATGGTTTAAGGAAAGATTTGTGTTAATTTTCATTGGAATAGCCTGCATGCTCCAAAAATATTTAGGTCAATATTTAGGTTTGCAATAACATCTGTTAAGTGTGATCTGAGATCTAATATGGAGTGCTTATATTTCTTAGCTAAAAATTACTTAACGGACTTCAGAAACATGAATTCAGTATTTATAGATAATTCCACGAAAGTGAGATTTTTGAGAGAGTAAAAAATAATATTTTCCATTTTGATTTACAGCATGTGCAAGAGTACTCAAAATAACACTGGCTAGAACAAGTTCTAACAAACATTCATTGCCAGTGACAATCAAGACAATGAAATAATTTTTTGGCTAAGTGGCAATGTTGGATGTGCACCTCTAATGTACTATAGCTGTAAAGTTCATATATCATGCACACCTGTATAAAAATGTCTCAGTGCACAATTTTCAGAGAGAACCTGAACCTTACCCTTAGTGACAAAAGGAATGTTTTTTCCATCTGAATTAAAATGAGTAACTAGTCCATTCAAGTTTTAAAACTCAGACTTTGAAAATATGGGAGTTTGACTTCCCCAATTCATTAATTAAAAAGACAATAGATTTTAAAAAAAAAAATGCATGGAGAGCTACTCTCTAAACCTTACAAAGGACAAGGTAAATAGAAACAAAGTGTTCAGCTTTAACTACAGCTAATACTTTGTCTTATATACAAAAATATTTGTTGTTTCCCCGCCCTTTGTTATCCAAAGCATGGAACAGCTCCAGTTAACAAAATATAAGTTGGTTAGAGCTGCATTACAGAAATAGATCATTTACATCCAAAGAACAACCTAAATGACACACAAAGAAGTCACATATCAAGCTTTACCTTTCTTTAAATGCAAAAATCTAGTAATACAAGGAAATACAACCAGACTATAGAATTTTTAGAGGGGTATACTGTTGTGTTTAGACATGTACATACAACAGGTATATAGGGTCTATTACATACAACAGGTACATAGTGTCTATTCCACCAAGAAATATGTAAACTGAAGAATCTCTATCTTAAATGTAATCAAGACCATACAGGACGATGGCCCAGAAATAAAACTACAGAAAATGAAATTAAAATTAATTTAAATTGGATTATCTGAATGAAGACTTCTTGGCTGATTTAAAAACCAGTTAAAAATATATTTCAAAAGTAACAAATTTTATAGTTTGTCCAGAATGTGAATAAAGTGACTTAAGAAGAAGTGTACATATTTTTAAGAGTCTGGTCAGCTATTCTACATGTAGTATTTGCATATATATCTTACTATTTATCTCCTACCAGGCCAAAAAACCCCCAGTGAACGTGCTGTAGAATCAAAAACGAGAGTGAAATGCTGGTGTAGTTTTCTGTACCATTCCCTACCACCAGAAGGCTTGCTGTTAAGTCTCCCTAAAACCAACCTGCAGAGATACAACACAGTCAACCTACAGTTAAGCCTTTCAAGTGAAGAGCTTCTCAAGAGAAAAGCTGCAAATTCAAGGAAGGCACTGAGCAGAAGCTACAGCCAAGAGCCATACTTGAAGCCACACAATAACTTTTCTTTGTGGAACAGAGAAGAATATTTACTGCCATGATTATGTCACTATATACCATATATTAAAGACAGTATTGAAGTATTTCACAGTAAAGCAAAATTATTAGCTTGGAAGTAAGCTATATAGCTCCTATTTAGGAATTCTTTTCTGATCAGCTATCAAAAACTGATGTAGATGCAGATGTAATTTTCCGACATGAATACCTGAATGGCACCAAACAAGTGAGTTTTAAAAAAGCAGTATCAGCAACAATTTGTATTACTTACTGGTATATAATAGATATTCATTTTAGGGGCTTCATTGGCAGTCATTAGCATTCCTAAAAAGAGATTTCCACATTTAAAAATATTGGTCACAAAAGGATAACACTACTTTTTAAAAATATATATATACACACACACACACACACGGCATTTAATTGATGGGAAGTAGATTTGTACACGGGACTTAAAATACCTTTTCAGGGAAAGAAATGGGAAAAATGGAAAGCTTGCTGGCACCAAAAAAAGAAAAAAAACCCCACCCCCCCAAAAAAAAATTAGAATGGCAACCTGAGTATTTGTAAAAAAAATGGGTTAGGGGAGGAGGGGTTGTTGCCCTGTACCGTACTGTGCATTGCTCATACAGTGCATATTCTCAGCCTGCAATGGAACAGCTAATTGGGACCCATAATAAATTGTTGCATATAACGCTAAGGAAAGAGAGGTCCGACAGCGGCACAATCAACGAACTTTCTTTTCCTACATATTCATCCCCTTTTTTCCTCTACCTTAACAACTGTTCAGCACCACTTCAAGCAACACTAAGTCCTGACCAACTGTGGGCTGCCAATTTTCATAACAAATTTTAATAGCTCATTCCATAATACTATTTAGAACAAATCCAGTTAGTATTGCACTTAAAACCTACCTTGAGCATCAACTTGTACTATTAATACAAGGGGGTTTTGGTGGTGTGTGTGTTTTTTTTTAAACACACCCCTATAGTCTAAACAAAGACATAAATCATAGCATGGTTTACAACTTTATTCCTATTTCACCTTGGGAAATCGGCACAACAGTCGCTTGTCAACACAAAATGAGACACAGGATAGTGTGACTTCAAATGCAAATTCATGATATTAGCCAACCGGGGCAAATGTAAAATTTGAAATACCTATGAATATACCTAAGAAACACAATGAATAAGGGTCGCAAATACTCTAAATATAAAAAACTACCGTAGAAATATTAAAATCCATGGAAAATCTCCAACTGCCACAAGACCACAAGACTTCATTTAAGTTTAAAATGAGAAATACTCTCAATTTCCTTCTACGTAAGAGAGTAATAAGGACATTTGGCATATACTTTCACCTTTATATCAGTTCTGGCTTTCCAATGTAGCTGATCACCAGGTAATACAAGAGAGAGAATATGAAGAAGAAAAGAACAATCAAGTTAGATAACATTCTGATCTAAAAGTACTGTAACATATGCCACTGAGACTATGAATAATTGGGTCAATTACTACACACCTAGAGGGTAGAAATATAATTTACACCCAACTAGAGGAACGCAATTAACATGGGTGGAGTAATCCTTCCTACCTAATCCTTTCATTAAAAATACATAATGCAGCTGGACTTAAAGTGTCAGAAAAAAGGGGGCTTGCTTTCCCGGCAAAGCAAGGAATTTGTGAAAGCTTAGTCAGCAAACTGAGGCTAAAAACTGTATGTGGAAAGGTTTGCAGGCAACTTATGGAAAAAGCAAGACTTTATAGTATATACACACATATACACACAGAGTGTACTAGATTCTATAGTATATAGATTACACGCTCCCTTAATATATCAGCATGCTCACTACTACTGCAGGAAACAAAGCATTTCTCCATTGACTGAATATGAATCACCAGAGATAAAAAGGATAGAAATTAATTCTGCAGGTGCTTCAAAGACGACAGTAAAGGGAAAACCTCCTCTTTGAGAGTCTTCCATCAAAAATTAAAGGAAGGAAAAAACAGACTTCGGAACAGTGCATGGGAGCATACTAAAGGGGAAATAAAAGAATAAAAAAGGAGCAACTCTGTGTAAGGAGATGCCTGCTCCATGCATTTTCATTGTTTCAGCTTGTTAGTTTTAACCAATTTTTATGGGAAGAGACACTGCACCCTAAGAGAATACACAGCAGCCTAGTCTGATCACTTTAAAAGGGAAATAAATGAGAACTCTTTTTTTCAGAGAAAAGATTTTAATAAGACCATCTTTGGAAGGTGCTGTACAACACACTATCATCAAATTAAAGGAACAAAAACACAAGCATAAAGCTGTAGTAAATGGGAGAAGCAGTTTTAGAAAAAGCAAACTTTTTACTTTAAAAAAAAATTTACAATAATTGAAACAAATGAGGCACAAATTTCTATACGCTGAACATGTTGTTAAGTTTCATTTATATCGTACAACTTAACTGAAGCTGAGTCAAGGCTAGTCAGTAAGCAGTAAACCTTTTTTCCCCCCCCTCGCCCTATTCTGTGCATGTGTGATGAGAGAAAAGAGATTCATAACTACTTTAAGCATTCCACTAAAGTTTGTCATCATGTAGTTTGGTCAAAGATACACAAGGGTTTGCTTCCCATGAAAGGTAGTAGTACTGAAGCTGGTTGGTAAAAATAATTTAATTAAACCCCTCCCCAACTACAACAAAACTCCCACAAATCTCCTGAAAAAGCGTAATTCACATTATACTGATCCACAGTTTACCATAAATATTTCAGAATGTTTTATGTTACAATGTAGTTTCACTTTTCCAATTCTTTTTTTTATAACTGTGACAATTCAGTGTTAAAATTACTTCATTACCGCACATGCAGCAGACATTTGATGTAAAACAGGGCTGCAACCAATATAAAGTATCAGCTACCTTCAGTGGTTTTAAAACAAAACTTATTACACCTATTGCAATAAAATTATAAAGATAAAATGGAACAGTAAAATGTTTAGACATACTAGACAACCATTTTTCCCCCCCAAAAAAGCATTCTAAATGCAGATTCAATTACTTCTGGTTCATGACATTTCCGAAATTCATAGAATCATAGAATGGGTTGGGTTGGAAGGGACCTTAAAAGATCATCTAGTTCCAACCCCCCTGCTGCAGGCAGGGACACCCTCCACTAGAGGAAATATTTCTCTTCAATTTGAAACAAAACATGTAAGTGTACGAAACAAATTCTGAATTTTGACCCTCATCAGTGAAATAAAATATGAAAACGTTTCCTTCCATGCCATGATGAACTGCAAAGCTCTTTTAAGCGAATATGAGTGACTATAAGGGTGAGATTAGGATATGGGCTTTCTGAGCACCAGTGTCACATGAACCGTTAGAGCACAAGCAAGGCAAGTATCTCTTGGGCTTCCTGTGCCGTGCTGGCTTCACGAACATCCAGGGGTGCTCCAAGAATGCCGGGGCACCAGTGACGGCACTGACCCAGTAACCATACCGGTACTTAAATCATATTTTATTTCCAGCTCTCCACAACTGCAAGTTCCTTTCACTGAAAGTATTTCCTTATTTTCAGATAGTCACAATTATTCTTTAAATTCTAAATGAGCATGAGGTGGTGCTAGACATCTTAATTTCTGCAGCAACAGTATTTATGACAAACATGCAATGTGCCATCTCTTACCACAAATCTCTTAATTTTCACTGCAACATGTTCGAGTTTTTCCCCTCTGTCTTCCGTATGATTATAAAATAAAACCTAGGTTTCATCCCATGGCAGTTCTTATCAAAAGACATCAACCTGCTCCCCTAACAGACATGGTTGAAGAAAGAACAGTAAGAAAAGCAGAACTGACTTGAGGAGGAGATGTGGGACACAGGACTGGAATGCACAATCTAGATCACAGACACGTGAAACAGTAATGTCCAATAAGCAAGATATATGTGCATTCAATAGTTTATGCTACAAAATTCTTCTGGCAGAGTCTCATGAAAATTATTTCTGCAAAAGTACTCGAGGCATGTCTACATACCACAGAGGCTATAGAGCATCCATAGCTGAGTAACGTCCATCCTTGTAGATATTCAAACCTGACTGGTTATGACCTGAGCAACTTGATCAGCTTTTGAAGTTGGATCTAACTTCAAGTTTGGCCTTGCTTTGAGCAGGAAATATACGACCCCCAGAGGTCCCTTCCAAGCTAAATTATGCTAAGATTCTACACTGTCAAATAGCTTATATCTGTTTCAGTCCCTGTCATGAGCCCTTCATTATCAATGCTGCATGGATGTTAATTCACTCTTGGGTTCTCTTTTGGATAAAATCCAATGAGCTCAAAGGTGAAACCTGGACGAAACGCTAAAGATAATTCACTCCAATAACCTACCCTCACCCCTCTGTAGCCACTATGGATGAGAGAAGACCAGGTTTGTCTACTTCCATGTTGCACAGTCCACACTTTTACCACAGTTATTCTCAAATATCCCAAAAGGAACTCATACACACAACCAGGGCACACAAGATGTACTCTCAGCACCGTGCCGTAAAGTCCCTGTTTTGGCAGGCTTCAATTCTTTGCTTACATTATTTTTGGCACTTTGATCTGGGACAAACAAATATATGGAACATAAATAAAATGGTACTGATGCCTTTTTGAGGGATCAGAAAAACCTAGCCCAGTCTGTTGCAGAGGGGGCTAAACCTGAGCAGCACAGAAGCAAGTTAATATTTTCATCAGCAAAGTCCTGCAGACCATTAGTTTTGCTGCTCCATAAGGTCAAAAATGCCCACCATCTCACAGGGATCAGTATTTAAGTGCTCATCTTAAAAAAAAAAAAAAAAAAAAAAAAAAAAACACATTCTTAACTGAAGTTGGCAGAAAAGACAAGATAAGTTTTAACTCGTCAGAAATCTCAAACTACAATCTTGAATTCGAGCTGCTAGTACGAATCAAAGTCCAAGTCACTCTGCCTTCACTGCTACCTCTCTCTAAAATGAAGATAATAGCAGAGTTTGCAACATAAGCATTCTCTGGATCAAGAATCTGGTCCTGTGCCATCTCAGTGGCTCTAATTCTTATTTCATCTTTTTCAATACTGCTTTCTAAAAAGGAAGTAGGTGTCACATACTAGTTAAGAACTAAGTAACTCAGATCAAGCAGAGAAAATTAAGGCCAGTTGCAACCTGAGGTACAACCAAAGCAAGTGCACGCACACGAGCACCATTTTGTAAAATATTTATTCTCCTAAGGTAGGATCTGGAAACTTTGGTTAAAAGCGACCCTCAGTTTTGACCTCTAAACGTAACGTTATGACACCGTAGATCTGAAAACAGTCACAAAAAGCATGCAAATCTGTGCACTTAGGAATCTACACTTAAAACCAAAGTACTCAATCTCAAGGAGAGCACAATAAGTACCATATCTAAAATGAGGAAACATCAAATAGTTGTAAACACTTGTAAAAATTTGTAAACTTGCTGTAAATAGATTTTTCCTAGCTCTAACTCATCTGGGACTTTGCCGTCACAAAAGGACAAAAATCCTATTCTTATGAAATGAAACACTTCAGATATTTGAAAGGGCAAAAGAGGTCGATCACTCACTAGACAGCACAGCAGCTCCTAACTGCAAAGAGGCTCCGATTTAATACAGATGCAGAGGAAACAATGACACTAACTGACAAGTAACCACTTTTTCCCAGCTCTGTCACAAGGAGGAAAGTGTACCTAATTCTTATCACCTAAACAGAAAAAACGACCACAGCATGAGTTAATGCAAGCTTTCCCTTTTGAAGTTACCAAGACATCAATGTATCTAACGTACCTGAATTTGGATACAGGCAGACATCATTGATATCATATTCTGGCTCCATTGAAGTAAATATCTTCCCCTGAAATCGTAGGAAGAAAATATAAAGAACTCCAAACAATATAATTAAATTTAGTGAATCTAAACATTAGGAATAGTCATTATAGAAGCTAAAAAATACGATGGAATAAAGATTGAACAGATTTTGCAGAACAATGAAATGTTATTAAACGTATCTGAGCATAACACAAGGAACTCAATATCGTATTTTGTCTCTGATCCGATCTCTTATAAGGAAATGTAGCCTACTGGTTAATTCAAGACACAACAATGTACAGTGGCACTTCTATTATCTCAGCTCACGCTTCTGCGTTGAAAACACTTGTGTCAGCTCCACTTTATTTTATGCCATAGGGGGAGTGAGGTCCATAAGTTCCTGGCACATTGCCAGTGTAACCCTCCTTTTGGTCAGTTCTGAATGTGGTAATTCTAAGTAATTTTATTTTGGTAAGTATCATCAGCTGAACCGATGGATTGGGAGTGAAATTTGATCCTGGAGCTCGGTTCCTCCACCCTGTTCATGTCTACATTAACCGAAACATAGCTCAGCACTTTATCTGTAACTTAGAAACTCCGTACTACAGGTGTCTAAATGTAAAATAAAAGTAGTAAAAACACCCAGTGGTATCTAGCTTAGATCAGAGTTGAAGTTCTAAAGGTTATTTAAGAAAAAGGTAAAAGCAGGAAGCTACATTCTCAAAAAAAAAAAAGAAAAAAAAAGAATTGGAACAGAGTCTGAAAAACCCAGACAAAATACAGGTGCTCTTATAAGCCAACACACAAGACAGCCAGTAAAGGAAGAGTGTCTAAGGACTGGGCCGCAGATTCTGAAGCATGAGAGTACATGCCTACACGGTTCTAAACGAGGGACAGGAACAGAGCGAATTTTGATCCTATTCCTCTTCTTTCTTTCCCTGCAGCAATCCCACCTACCTTTCTGGGCCCTTCCTTTCCCTCCCAGTTACAAGCTGTTACCCCACCCACCTCTGGTCTCTCCCCGATGATTAATCGGAGTCCTCCCACCCCCGGTCTTAGCAGACAAAAGCCTCACGCTCCCCACCCCAAGGCACGTCTCAGCATGGGGCTATTCTGGTATCAAAGCCATATGCTCTCCACCCCACAGTCTGCCTCTGCAGTTGGTTCCCAGCCAGAGATAGTCAGGAACCAACATCTGGGAGAGGTGGAGCCAGCTGGAACATACTCTAGGAAAGAGTCCAAAGCTATCTGTGCCTTCCAGCAGTAAGAAACTCTCCTTTTTCCCAATGCAGAGGCCACCTGACAAACCTTACAGTGCTTCCTTCTCAATGAGGGAAATATAGATACCTAAGAAAAATGGAGAGAGGCCACTGCAGATGTTTTAAATAATAACCAATAATTTATTTGCTCTTTTAAACAATAAAATGTAACTGCAGAGGAGCTTACAAAAAACTGCTTGCGATCACAGAAAAAATAAAAGGGGCTGTTGAAAGTTCATGAAGAAGCACAACAATAGAGAAATGACTGCCTGAAGTAGTCAGAAAGAAGTGCCTCTTGACTACTGCAACTGCTCTTGGTTCATTTCACTATAAAGTTAGAAAAGCATAGATGGAACATGTTTTCTAGAAGGAATACCAAAAAGAGAGTCCCTCAAACCGAATCAAGCTACAGTAGCTATGAATCTATGGGATAACATATTTTGTGCAAGCTGCACTGATGGAAAAATAAGAAAAAGAACAGCATAATATACTGAAAGGAAGTCTTACAAAACTTAGATATTTCAATTTAACTTGGAGGTGCAAAAGGCAGGGACAGATATGCTGCCTACTGCAACATAATCCATTAATAGAGCATAGTACACGTTGTTATTTGGATCTAGACATAGTATCTGCTTCAATATCCAAACAAGTTTCTGTGAAAGTAAGCAGTACCTGATTTTAATAGGCCATAAACTAACTGATCTACCTTTGGAGTTGGTTCTTCTCTGAGCAAGGAATTGCAATGACCATGTTTTCTCTAATGAAAAATCATACCTGGATGTGTTCAAGTACACTGTGAGAAATACACAAACCAGGGCAATGGCTAAAATACTAATTTTTATGTAAAAATCCTTCTATTGAAAGAAGCGTATTAGGCAGACATGTACAAACAGCTTTAAAAAATATAGACCTAAGACTATATCTTTATACCTGACAGGCTGTTGAATACCTTCCCAGATGTTGTTTTATTTAGTCAGACAGGACAAAATGCTATGTAAATTAGGACACTTTAAAAACCCAACTTCCTGCATTGAATTTCAGCTTTATTATTTAAGCTGCGTGGAAAAAAAAAGAAAATAAAAATTAAAAAATTTAAATACAGCAACACATAAAACACTTACTGTATCTTTGTTCCACATTTTTATGATTAGAGAATCTGCAGAGATAATTAAATCCAACTGATGCTGAAACTGAATTGACTTAATAGGCAGGCCATAGTGGTGATCTTTGACTATTAATGGATTACTAGACCGGAGATCATATAATAAAACCTTGAAAAATAAGAAACAGATTAAACTTACAATATTGTAAGATCAAGAGGAAGTCACATATACTAGATCTTCACTAAAGATTTAACTAAACTTGAATTTTTTTTTACTTAAATACATAGAGAGGGTTTACCTAAGAGAAATAAGTTTACATTCTGAAAACAGCTTATTAAGTGAGCCTAGTTTATTCTGACAATATATTTTAACTTCAGAATGCTTCAGTCTAGAAGAATTAAAAGCAAATTTAAGAGCTCACCATCTTTCTAAAATCTTTTTAATTTCTATTGAAAAAAATGAACCATTTTCAAGGCTCTTAGTATTTCTTAATTACTAATATTTAACTGTCAGATTCTTGTGCTGTTCTCACAAGATCTAAATTTTCAGACTCCCTTCCACATTTGGTGAAACTCCACACAATGTAATTTGTTATTTTAAGGAGAGTACAGGCCCTGTCTTCCAGAAACATGCATTTTTATCTCCAAAGTTTCCTGTGGAACTTGAGAAAGACCTTAAATTTTTCAAATGCAAAATATGAATACTAATAATTTTGGGGGGAAATATTATATATTTTAATAAAAAATATAATGTCCAATAAAACTGGCCTGACAAGTATACTAACATTATGAAATGTTATTATCAAACTAACAAATACAACTCCTACATACATATCTGCTCTTGAAGAAGCTACATTTTTCTAAACCCACCAAAATACTGATGAAGGCAGAAAAAAATCCCCATACTACACTTTACAAATATGATGGTAACAATTCATAAATGAATCTAAATGATCCCTTATAGAAAGATAAGACAGTAAAAGCACTGTCTGATAAGACAATCACTTCTGCTTTGTTAGTCACTGTGAAGATAAGGGACAGCATATATGTTGCATTGAGATGGTACTGAGTCTCAAAAAGCAGCAACTTCCCCGCATACTTGACTCAAGTCATAAGAAAACCGCAGAATTTGAAGTTATATAGTATGTAGGTTGTGATGATTTTAAGTGGTCCCTACAGTATTCTGAAGGGCAAGAGCATTTGAGAAAATTAATTTGCAGATTGACTATTACTTCTATATACATGTAATTTATGCTCTTATAAATAGTTCTATTAATATGTATTTACATTACAGTAAGTGCACTCAATGTATGATAGACCCGGACTGGCAGTTGCAATAACAGAACCTCCTAAGAACTCTTGTAGATGAAGTTAAGTCTACCTGTCCAGTAGATGTTCCAACAGCCATATTCAAAGCTCCATCAAATTTCAGTGCTGAAACGGATGGTAAACCCTCTATCCTGCAAAGCACAATGCTTAGAGTTAGACATTCTTTCAATAAAGGCTTCAAATAATTTTTTCAATGTTAAAAATAGAGAAGATAATTAACATTAAATTTATTTACAGATGTCATTCAGAAATACTACTTCAAAAAGCTGTACTGTTTACAGTCACAACTTGTAGCTGTGAATTTTCTATACAACCATTTTCTATACAACCAGATCAATAACTAAGAGACTCCTCTATGACTAAGAAAACCCTTTATTCACACTAGCAATGAGAAGAGAAGACCATGGGCAGGTGATTTTAATGCAAAGTGGGATTTGTTTCTAAAAACAAACTTCTGAAAAAACAGAAGAATACACTTTGAAAAGGTAGCCTTTACTCACTCTGTGTCTGCTGTCACACTGCTTAAAGCACAGTCCAATAGCCCAACTCGATTTCTTGTTCTAGGATCCCAGCATTCCACTTTACCCTAAACAGTTTAGAAAATAAGTTTCAAGATTTTGCAACAGATGTCTGGTATTCTGAAAATGTTTAAATAAAATTATGAGTTATATCAACTATGAACAATTAATCACATTTCCTAGGTTGACATGAGTTGTTCTAATAATGATATGCAAGCTCCACACATTTCACTTATATTTTTTTAAAAATGCAATGAAAATCATTGACACTAAATTTCCAAAGATTAATAGGGTACACATGCTAGCTAACTTCTACAGATGGCTATACTGTAAAGCAAGATAATGTTATTTTCTCTCCCATCTGCAAAATCTCAGTATCTCAGCAACCAAGGTAGCTCAGAAATATTTGCACTATGCTCTACAAAGTCATCTTGTTTAACGGTTCTATACTTAACACAGCAAATAAGATCAAATTAAATAATTCGGCTGCTGTCATGATTTCTTCCTATCCTCATACAAACTAATATAAAACAAAATAAACACTACTGTCCTTTTTATAAAAGGAATGCAAACATTTACCTCAGCCGTCCCCATAGCAAACAAGAAGTGTACAGGATTTATGTCACAGACATTACTCTCTCTAAAACAGAAAAAGGAGCAAGTTTAATGACCTCAGAACAATTTAACACATGAACAACTAAAAAGTTTTCTGTAATCATGTACACTATTGCTCAGCCTGGAAAAGCAAAATGCAGAGGGAGGGACAGATGGCCACCTAATAGCAGCTTCCCATACTTATAAGAGCAGCTTATGAAGAATTTGGCGCCACCAGAGACAGTACTGATTACTTGAAACAGGTACGGTTCCAATTGGATGTAAGGATAATATTTTTATGCCATGCAGATAATTAAGCATGGGTTGCCCATAGAGGCTGTGGTATTTCCATCCTTGGAATTTTCAAGGCCCCCTGGGAAAAATCACCTGAATTCAGTATGATCGTGCTGCGAGCAGGAGGCTGGGCCCTGAGGTTCTTTCCAATCTGAATGACTCTCCCCATACCCACCACCAAGCCTTTCCTTATTGCTCTGGTCGCTATATTCTTAAACTACTCAATTATGTCAAAAGGTGTTCCTGATTACTGATGTTCTGAAGCTTACATCTCCCACATATTGTGATGAACTGCCTGTCTTCCTTTCCCTCCCCCAAATATCCTGTTTCTCTACAGGGCACCCAGGAGTCCTGTATTGCTCCAATAATTTTTTCAAAGTACAAATATTTCTCTTTACACCACCCATCCTGGCACCTTCCAATTTCTTCCTTTCAAAGCCCTCCACCTCTAATTATCCAACTCCTCCAGTTCCCCTACCATCACAACCTTCTCAGAACTTCAAGTCTCATCTCCCTAATTCAGAATTTACACAAGACTCTTAAGCATTGCCACTCCAGGATTTTCGTGAGTTTGTTTCTTTTTTGGTACTGCTCAGTTTCCGTAATTATGCCTGCCCAAATATTCCTTCGTCCATTAAACTATCCTACCCACTGAGCACCAGCTGCTGCCCACCAACTGCAGTTGAGTCGCCATCCCTGGAGGTAAATACGTGTAGATGTGGTGCTTAGGGACATGGTTTAGTGGTGGACTTGGCAGTGTTAGGTGCACTTGATGATCTTAAAAGTCTTTTCCAACATAAAGGATTCTGTTATTCTACCTACTCACTTTATCTAGTCAAGTCTGTTGTTCTCATCTGCCTCTCCCCACATAAAAGAAGCCCAGCTCCTGCTGGGTTTTCAAAAAAAATAAATCAGACACATGCTGGAGATATAAAACTTCTCTTTGGGCTACTCCAAGAGCAGAAGGACAAAGACATGCCTGGGAAAGTACATACCCTGTGGGTAGATCTCTATATGATGGCTAAATTGAGCAATAATGGCAAAGTTTTAATGAAATGCTCTTAAGATCAAGTTATGTAATACCTACTGCAAGTCTATATTAAGCAATTTTAAAATATCCACAAAAGAAAACTCAATTAAAACACAAAAACTAGAACAAAGAATTACAGAACATAAAATGAGGCTCAGACTCGGCATATGTTCCTTTTCAACTCTACAATGCGTTTGGGCAGTATTCAGATACAGTAGTGATGGTGAGCATGCTAGGAGTTTGCTTCCACCTGGTGGAAAGACGACAGACGTCATGCATTACAGATAACTTACGAGGCATCAGTCTGCAGGGAGTTGAGAAACCTTCCTTGTTCTAGATTTAGCCTGTATACTTCAGAACTACAAAAGAAAAATCCAAAATTACTCCTTTCCCTTACAGATACTGAAAAATACTGTTATAAGTTAGGAGGAGTTATGAAGATTCTTGCTGACAGCCGAATGTTACCAAATACACAATTTCCAGACTTCACATTCTAAACATAAGACACATCTATCCTTCAGTGTTAAAAATCCAGAGAAAAACATGCATGTTCACCAAAGATATTTATTACACTGCAATATCCTACCAGTTACTCTTTTTCCAGGGAAAAGATGCATTAACTCCTTTTTAAGGATCTTTTAATTTCCTATGATTTACGTTACAACTTGAATTGCTACTTATTTTGTTTGAAAACCTAAAGATTTCATTTTTACTGTGTCTTCTCACAAACTCAACTTTATGTCATTTGACTCACACTTAAACAGCAACAAAACACCAACTATGATAGAAAAAGTTATTTAATTTTCCTTACTTAGATGCTAACCACTTTTTAAAACAGTACACAGAATTGCAATTTTTGTAACGAATTTGCAAATACATGATGTACCTGATTTAAGAATCAAAGAAAAAAAGTCTTAAAACAGTGCAGGAAACTAAATTAATCTTAGCCTGTCTCCATTATTAGTTTGGAAAGAATTGCCACTTCTTCCAATTTTTAAATTTTCTGATATTTTAATTTTATTCTTGGAAAACATTGCTAACAAAGTGAAAAAAAAATCCACTTAATACCTTGCTCCTACAAAATACAGGTCACACGATGGATAGTGATAACAGAAATCTCTACCAAATCTCGGTATTCTTGTCCTGTAGTAATGGCCATGTTGTGAATGAAACTCCACAAATCTGTCACACTGCAAGAAGACAATCTGAAAATAAAATAGAAAGAACTGAAACATACAGAAGCAGACAACAATCTCCCTAACTTGTCTTGCAACACAAACTGGTAATTTTTTTTAAGCTCACACAGGTTTATCACAACCCATTTAAACCATTTCTACTAAAACGATAGAATCAACTAGTGCTTCATTGTTTCCACTAGCCACAGAAAAGTGCTTTTAATGATTAAATGAATATTCACAAGAGTATATGCAATACCCTGAAAGTGACTCTGTAATCAGAAGCAGTATAGTCATCTCAGTGTTACGATGCACCAAAATTAACATCTGCCCTTCTTTCACACACCAGAATTAATAATTTCTTCCAGTTACGATGCCATGCAGACACCACTATGTTCATGTACTACACATCCTGATGCACAGCAGCGTTCCAATAAATGACATCAATGACCTTGTGTATATTTTTTTGTGGTTTTTTGTCAACTGAATAAGCACATTTAAAAGTTCTAAGTGCTGAAACTCAGACAAACATCTCAGTCCTGGAACAGCCTCCAGGAAGGCATGACTAGAAGGCTAGATCTATACTAGTAAATAAAATAGGGCAGAACCTGCCCCCGTAGTCCTGCTGGCAAGTTAACATGGCACAACTCATATCGATATGAAGGAATTCTTCCCACTCCAGAGACGGTATCATCCACACCACCCATACACTCAGGCTGTGCCTCAAACCATGCCCAGGCATTGCGTGATGGAGGAACAGTTGGCCTGGCCCAAACTCATCCCACGATGCATGCAAACAATTAAATGATACTGATAATCACAGGCTAACTCTTGACTCTGAGCCTCATCCCTACTCAGCTTAGATTAGAGAAGCAGTAGTTTGGTTTAGAATACGTATAGTCCATGCATCTTCTAAAAGTAGTACATAATGAAGATTTTAAATGTCCTATTGTTGGACTACATTGTTAGCAACGCAAATAAGGATGAGAAGCTCAGGAAAGGCGAGGTACAAAAGTTATTTTGAATCTGACACCTATCTTTATATACCTGTATATTCTTTCCTTACGAGACATGACGAGACATGGAGAAAGTACTGATCTGGGCCAGTACCTCATACCTGTTTATCATTAAGTTCCCCCCTTACTTACACTTTTTTCTGGTATCGGAAACCCTAGTGTTTCAACTTTTATTCATGGACTCACTCGTCTTGGTCCAGGACCAAGCACAGTATCATCTTTCAGCAGTATAACTATGATTTCATACAAGATTACAGATGCAGCTCGACAGTTGATGCTATATAATGGTGTTTTTCACATACATCCTAATCAATCCTTTGTGTGTCCTGTTCAAGCATTAAATGATGCCTGAAGATCCCCTTCCAATCAGTATTTTTATGATTCTAAGCATTTCAAGTGTAATTTCTCAAATATTGTTCCCTGTAATGTGTTCAAAACATTATGACAGCTACCTGAAATTAGTTTTCTTTCTAATGATTTCATAAGTTTTAGGAAAATAAAATTGAAAATAAGGTTGTATTAAGTTGTGAAAGTAGAGCTTCAGTCTGAAATACAGTACCAATTTCAGCTGAAAACACACACAAGCCTTACTGTTCATAACCTGTCAGAAACATTTGCGAACACAACGTGTTCCTCAGTCTCCCAACTAACTTTTGGTCTGTACAACCAGAAACATTCTCCCACAGACAGGTAAGTGGGAGGCTACTGTATTCTACCACTCACCTTCTGCTCCTTGAATTCATGCACATTCTTGGAAATCTCATAGGGGAAAAGTTTTGAAAGCACTAAAGCTAGAAGGCTAGATGATAATGTCCCTGATCAAATAGAAATATTTATTGAAACAAACCTGTATCGGAAATGCTAAGGTTTCTTCTCAGACAAAAAGAAAAGTACTAAAATAACACTTTTTTTTTAAAAAAAGGCTTGTCCTAATGAAATCAGCAAAGTTATATGTTTAAATTTCATATTTAATTTGGAACAAAACACCTTAACGAATCAGCAAAGTTTACAGAAAGAGGTAGCATCTTTTATTACATCAACTGCTGCTGGAGAAAACAGATGAGCTTTAAAGCACCTAAACACTCTTCTAGGTGTTGAGCAGAATTAGAAGTGGTAATTGTATTGGGCCTGAAAAGAGTTTGATGGTCCTAAGAACCCAACTATTTCCTCCAGGCACAGCACTTAATGAAGGGGAAAAAAAAAAAGCCAACACAATACTTCTCTCCACAATTTCTGCCTCATTCATATGCTCATCATCATCATGGCTACAACGATGCTGACAAATCAGGCAATTAACTTATCTATAGCTATCCCACCTAGCAAAAATGGTCTATCTGTGTATCACTCGCCACAAAGTATTGTGACTTAACGTTATGCTAGAAAGAATAACTAATTCAATTTTTCACATTATTTTGTTAGTAGGATAGATCATTATTTGAAGTTTTTCTCTATTACAGACAGAAGACTTTAAAAGTGGTAAGGCAAATTACAATACAAAGAGACAAAGAAAACAAACAACATTTTGAAGGTACAAAAATGTTTATCCTGTTTGTTTTTCTAAAAAAACCTTTTTTGTTCCAAAAGTTGTGTTGACTGACTGCCTTTACTATATATGAAAATGCATTTTAATATACATTAGACAATTTTTTCACTTATACATTGAAAACATTAAACATACCTTTGAGTAATCATCTGATAAAATCTCAAACGTAACCACTAGAGGAGAGAGCAAGAGAATTTTAAGTCAACCAAGTAAGCAAGCTTATTTGCAAACATTGGCATAAATCCTGAAAACATTTACACTCACGCTAACCTTTAGTCATGTAAGTATTCCCCACAGGTGTCAATGCATAATGCAGGCATTGTGATAAAATCTTTAATTATATAACTTTATTTGCAAAATAGTAGGTAGTTTTCTAAAACTTTAGAAACATATGAAGCATCTTGTAATTTTTTTATCATTCTTGTACACTTGACACGTTCCTCAACACAACACTCAATCACGTAGTTATTGGCTTGGGGAAGGTCTAATCAAATGGTTTTCAGTGAGTGTGTGGTCCACGGACCTTTGATAATCCATCAAAGATGATAAAAAATGACGGGAGTTCAGATATACTATGCACAAACCTACACGCATGATCTTTCTAAGGGGTCAGCACTTCCACAGAAAAAGTTTTAAGGCTCAAAAAAAAAAACCCACCACAAATTTGAAAGCTACTATCCATGCTGAACATCGGAACGTATTGAACTTTGCGTAGTTTTAAATGAACTGGGTTGGGAACATTAGGGAGTAGCTGCTTCAGCTAAATTGGTTCCATTTAAATGAGGTAGCTCATTTAAAAGTTACCTGAAGTGACTCTATGCTACATTTCAAATTAAACCTACTTTCGCAGTCTAGCAAGATGCCAGTTTAAAAATAAATTTACTTTAAGCTCTAATTACCAGCCAGCATTTACTACTACAATGACTCCTACTCTTTTAAAGCAGGTCTCACTCTCACCATACCTTCCTCTCCCCAGCCTCTCTGAACCCCTACCACCTCTCCTCTTACCACGTTGTAGCACTGTCCCTTCACCCTACGCAACTCCTTGTAGTCCTGAGGCAAAGGGTAAAGAAACACTACCATGCTCTAATCCCCTTTTCCTGACCTAATTCAGTAATTCTCAATTTTTATTTTTCACATCACTTTCACGCACATCACAGACCAGTTTCGTTCTTCTATAATGACTTAGGACTTCTGCTGCTCTACGCTCATTCCATCACTGCTTGGGTCACCCCTGTGTCCCAGTTTTCAGACATCAGTCTTCTAACAAACAAAAACCAAACCAACCCCCCCCACGCACCATTCCCCAAATCCATGCACCCAAAAGCTCAGAGGCACAGCAGCTCTGACCTCCTCCCCTAGCCCGCCAGCGAATTCTCTTTCCCGTTGTCTAGATGGCTCCTTGCCTTCCTCACCATAGTTGCTCTCCCTCCACATTATTAGCAAATAAGGTGTAATTAGGGCCTTGGCCATGCTACCATCTATCCCCGAGTACAACAACCAACCAAACCACTCTCAGAGAATTCGCTTTACCCTATAACTCACCTACTAAGCTCGAGCTCCAGTGGGAAAACAGCGAGAACTCACGTCAGTAACGATGGTGCAACCACGGAGCATTCTCCTACCTTACTGCTTCACAGAAGAGGGAAGAAAGAAGAACTGGCCGCTACCCAGCCACTCTGTGCCCGCACAGCAATACCCAAAGAGAGCGTAGCCGTCAGCCACATTCACTCTGAGCCTCACACTTACTGGCTCAGGGTAAACCCTACCTTCCTCACACCACTACGAGAGGAAAGAACTCTGAAGGAGGAGGAGGAAAAGGGAAAAAATAGAGAGATAAAGAGTAGGTGATGTTTTACTTCAGATTCTTGTGTTCCCCCAGAGTACATTCTGTTCCCTCAGCACAGGGAGGGAAATTTCTACTTGATTCCAACCTGAATTATGTATGAAAGATATCTTGTACTAACAGCCAAGGCTTATACTAACCTTCAGAATCTAAGCATCTTTCAAATTTCTGGGATAACTGGTAGGTGTCAAAACAGCGGATCCTTGGCTTATAAGTTCCTGAAAGAACAATTTGATCTTTAATTAAAAAAAATTAAACAAAAAGATAACATTAAAGCATTTTTTCTTCATGTCTTAGATATACAGGCTTTACTGCATCGCAACTGTAAGTATTCTGATCTTACCAAAGTCTCTCTGACTGGAAAAACATGTCTCTAAGTAACACAACCTTATGGCCTGGTTTTTGTCTTTGGTACCCTACTTGTATGCAGGTTCTTCTGATTACCAGATACATCATACAGAATTTAATACCTCCCAGCAAGTCTGAAAGACAAAGTGTCCTTATGCTATTAATGTCTGCTAAAGTATTCATGTTTGGATCCTGCTTTGACAGTTACAAAATGCAGCATTATCCTCCATCCTTTCAAACAATGATGTTCAGAAGTTATGTACACACAATAAAAATAATTAAGAACTTAGTTTTTAACTGTATTATAAACTGTTTAGTCTTTAGCTGTACTATGAACTCCCAGTGGCAGAGGAGTTGGACTAGATGATCTAGTCCAACTAGCACACGGAAAATAAGGTGGTGACTGGGGACAGCCAACACAGCTTCACTAAGGGCAAATCACGCCTGACAAACTTGGTGGCCTTCTGTGATGGGTTTACAGAGTTGGTGGACAAGACAAGGGCAACTGACATCATCTACCTGGACTT